ACCCGCTTTACCTACTTCCTGCACTATAGTGCCGAGATGAGTGAAAAGAACTTAATTTTTGGTACTTTTTTCTAACCGTGTATAGTAAAGTCCCATAAGCAAACATCAGTATGTGCGTGAAACTTGGTGAACATTTCCTTACCCTTTCACTCCTATGAAAATCCCATATGATTCTGTCAATCTTTGTGTGAATAAACGGTGGCTTGCTGGAGGAATGAAGAGATAAGACAAAGTTCCTTAGATTTCACGCACAGATTGTCAGATGCTTATGAGATTTTACCAGGAGTAAAGAGTTGCAGAGTCGCCGTCAACGCCAATGCTTACTTTCGTAAGGGCCAATGCTACAAACGCAAACAATTACTTATTGTGTGAATTTCTCGAAAATGAAAACTCCTTCAAGAAAACCACCACGATGATTGTGTAGAGAAAGAGTCCTCCTATCCGATAAAATTAGTGGCTTACATGGATTGACTTTGACCTACGAGACATTTACGAAAAAAGCCATAATTTATGTTTTCGACATTGGTATTTATGAATGCTCAGTGTCAATATCACGAAAATGTTATTTTGACAGATCGATGTCCAACTATGCCAGTTATACCACTGAGGCAAAACAAAAAAGGGGTCGGATTTGAGTCAGCTTTTTGCATGAGGTTCCACATATGTTATGTGCTCCCAGGTTAATGAGAAATCACTGTGTACGGACTCCGGTGCTTGCTCATTATGCCAACCTAAACACACCAGTTGTGTTGCAGAAGTCATTCATGTGGAATTTCGTGATGTGATATTTTGAAGGTTTTGGAAGGTTTAGTTCTTACCAATATTCAATGGACTTGTTTAAATCATGTTCAATCAGGGTTACCGTTCGAGTGAAAATAATTTGGCGTACACATTTTCAAAATGCTTCAGAACCTTTAAAATAAAATGAATATCGAATCATATTTAGCAAATATTAATGAAACATGCTTTCAATACGTACCTACATTAAAATAGCCTACCAGATTTTTGTTGTCTTCAAGAACATTGGCAGCACGGATTAGATTATGGCATACTTGTCCAGTAAAACCATACGCTCGTTGCTGATGGCGTACACGTGCTTTACGAGCCCACAAATCTGCCAAATCTGGGTTTCGCTTTTATACTGCTTGGAACACCGCATTAACGATTCCAAGCGTGCAGCGGAGGCGGAGGACAAACATCCAAAATAAGGTCATCGTCTTTTCCAGAAACCAACGGTGCATGAATGCAGCTAGCGTTTTCATGTCACTTTGATTTCACACCTTTTGAACTATTCGTTTTTATACTACAAATCATCCTTGGCATTCCACTTTGCGATACTAGATTCTTCTTTCCAATTTCACAAATATTCAGTTTCATAAGATTCTTCCATATTTATCACCGAAATATATTCGTAATCTTCCTGGAGATTCGGTGGCAATGGAGTCTTAGGTTTTCAGCTGGAATCAATTTCAAATTATTTAAATAATGATTTAAAAACTTAAAAGATCGCTTAGCTGTTAATTAATCTTAAACAGCTTATTTAAAATCCCAGTTTCAAAGTTAACTATGGTAAAATTAAACCAATTTATTGAATTAATTGATATTTAACGTTATCCAGAGTTGAGCGCAGTTTGTCCTGATATCTTTTGGAAATGGGACGGCTGACCTCAACGATTGGAAAAATGAATGTTTATGGAACACAATTTATAATTGAAGCAATGAATAAATACGTTTATTTTTTTTTTACCAGAAGATGCTATTTTCTTAGCTAGAGTATTAGACACCGGCGAAGAGCTTTTTCAAGTCCAAATTTTCGACAAATTGTCTGTTCGTTCGTAAAAGTTGCCTCCATGCTTTTTTTCTCGCTTAGTTTACGTCAGGCAAATGTAATAAATGCGAAGCACTATATCCGCATCAAAATTTTTCCTCTGGGCCTGGTTTCACTTTCTTGGGCACGACACCGGGTAAATTTGTCCCAAGTACAATTTTTGCAACCCTCGTCAGCTGCGTTTAGTCGTGCTTGTACTTGTACAAATGCAGCAATACTTATGGTGTTCCACTTTTAGGATTGAAATTTACTCGACATGACATGCAAATAGATGATGGATAGTACCAATCTCTAATGTCATCATTCAAATAATGTTCAATATTCGGTTCAGGTAAATTCCGACAGCTTCAGAAAAGGTCCGAACTTTGAGATCAAGGGCAAATTCCGAAAACTACAGGGTACTTAAATGTACTTGAATGTAAAATTTAGTGCATTAATGTTAGTTCACGAAATTGTACATTAAAGTACATTTAATTGAACAGAGCACTTCGAGAAAGTTCACTTAAGTTCAAGAAACTTGAAGAAAGTTTTGGAAACTTCAGGATAAATTTGAGAACATATGGACCGTTCAATTACCTTCAGAAATATGCAGGAATTATACAGATTTTTCAAAAACAAACTTCAAAGGGTGTCCCATGAACGTTAGAAAAATTGCAGGAATGCTATTGATGTTTCTAAATCTTCGGAAAGCTTGAGGAATGATATTTTGCTGAATTTTCTAAGCAAGGAAGTTTTGAAAACATTGGAGGAAGTTACGAAAACTTCAAGAACATCAGAACTACGGGTAAGTTTTATTCCAGAAAGGTTTTTATAACTTCAAGGCAGTTCGATAGGTTTTATAAAAATTTATAGAAATTCAGTGACGGCCAAAGTGCTTCAGGGAAATGCAGAAAATTAACAGAAATTACCAAAACATTAGTTGAGTTAAAAATATCTTATGAGAAAATAAGTAGCTTTGAACAGTTGTGAAAACTTAGCCGCCGAGAGATGACAATGTGCTTTGGTTAGCACTTGGTTGACGTCACTTATGTGAAGAAACAGTGAACAAATTTCAATTTTCCTCCGAAAATGTATGACTAACGTCACTTTGTCTGCATGCCTCAAAATAAAATTTTGTACAAGTTTGAAGTGGTTTTGGGTGTCATTTAGGATGCAGAACTTCAATATGGGGAAAAGTGAAAGCGTTTACGTCACTTTGTCATCTCACGGCAGTTGGGCCATGATTTTCAAGAAAATCTCACAAAACTTAAGGGAAGTTCCAAGAACTCCAGGTAGATTTCGAGAACCTAATGGAAGTTCCATTAAATTAAAAAATTGATAGATTTATCTTTATTAAGGAAGCTTTCAGTCTGAGGCTGGTTCGCCTCCAAAGCTAAATTCAAGAAATCAGTGAGAACCTTGAACATTCAAAAATTACTGAGAACACCAGGGAAGTTGGGGGAACTTTAAAAACATTTCGGAAACTTCACTGAGGGTAAAGGAAAAATATAAGAAAAATTTCCGAGGAATGAAAGAAAATAATACCGAGGATTTCGAGGAAGTGTCATGAATAGACTGTGGGAACTTCTGCTAAATGTTGGACATATTAGCTTCAACTTCAAGGGAGCTTCAAGGAAACTACAGTAAGTTCTCTGACGTCAGGGATGTCAAGAAATCATCTGAGAAGTGTGCAGAACTTTAGAAGAATTATGGATAAAGAGCTAGCTCTAGAGATCTCCTGGGAAAGTCACATATCCTAAAGGCAGTTAAAAAAAACTTCTGGAAAGAACAGACTTTCGGAGAAGTTTAGAGATCTTTAGATTTTGGGAGAGGATACTTAGTGGTACTAAGATCTGTTATTTTAAATTCTATACATTCAAAACAGCACCACGAGCTTCAGAAATTTTGAGATAAGATAGGATGTTCCGTGAATTTCAGGGATGTCCAGAGAACTGCAGTATCTTTTTTGTCATGGATGTTTCTAGCAGAGGCGCGACGAGTTGATTGGACAGGTGGAACATGTCCTACGTACAAAAATTCGTGGGTGTGACAGTAGAACCTTTGTCCCACGTACGATTTTTTAGAGAACATAGTTAAAAAACTGAATTATTGGTAAGCGTGATTGCCTCTCGTCCATGCTGGCGCCGCCGAGATTTTCTGAGGCATAAAATCTCAAAATCAGAAAATTTTCCGGCCATAGATCTCCGGAACCAGTTCGCGATTCCAAGAATTTTTTTGAATATTCCGAGAATTTCTGAAATGTTCAAAAAAATTCTGGAAAAATTTTGGGTCTGCAGAAAAGTTTCTCGGATAGCAGGAAAAATGTTGGTACGTTTGAGAAGTTCTGAGAATTTCTTGAACATTAAGAGAAACTCCAGGCAAGTCCAGGACTCAGTTCAGGAAATTGTATAGATCTTAAAGAATGATCCACGAGCTTAAAGGAAGTATTTAAACAAAAAAAAAACTTCAGGGAAACTGTGCGAGTTTCAGAATCGACAGAAAAACTTAAAGAAAGTTTAATTAATTCAAGGAAGATCTAGAGAACTTTATGGATCTTATCTTCCATCTTTAGAACAGTTCCATTAAGTTCAGTGAAGCACGGAAAACCTTAGAAATGTCTAGACTCACGAATTTTAAAATAAGAAGCACAGCATTGGCCAAAATGTGGAATAATTGGTCTAATAACGATAAAATTGCCTTATAGCCTATTAATTCAATCGTATTGAATTGATTGAGCGCCTACAAAAACGCCGAATCGGTCATAAAAAATTGAACTGGTCATGAGAAGTTCACATTGTGTTTTAATTTTACAACGCCTGAATCGTTTTAAGAACTTAAAAATGGGATTCAACATGCATTATGCATAGTTTCCAAAATTTCCTTCCAACATCAAAGACGATCCAAGACTCTAAAATTGAATAAAACTGCTAAAATGATCTAATAAATCTATTTAAAAACAACCGCCAATATACACCCTAATTATTGTATATACCCCCTCATTTAAACCACCAATATACACCCTAATTATTGTATACGTTTGAAATATATTTTTCATACAAATAACACCATCTGTTATGATACATATGATATGAACATCAACGAGAATGATTGTCATAAAATTAGAAAACAAACAAACTTTAAATCTAGAGTTAAAGCATGATTATTAATTTCATTCTTCATTCCAATTCCCAAGGGTGACGAGATCTACAAGATCGTATTTGTTGCTTTCTTCCAAGGAGAGCAGCTGAAAAGCCGCGTCAAGAAGATTTGCAGTGGGTAAGATTCTCAAACTTCATAAATACATCAAGCCGATACCAATTAATTTCTTCATTCCACACAGCTACCATGCATCACTGTACCCATGCCCCAGCGAGTACAACGAACGTAGCGACATGCTTCAGGGCGTGCGCACTCGCATCGAGGACCTCAACATGGTCATCAATCAAACCAAGGACCAACGCCAACGTGTGCTGGTCAGCGTGTCCAAGGAGGTCCCCAAGTGGGAAATCGTCGTCAAGAAGGTCAAAGCCATCTACCACACGCTGAACATGTTCAACGTGGATGTCTCCAAGAAGTGTCTGTTCGGAGAAGCTTGGGTACCGACGACCAATCTGCAGGACGTGAAGAACGCTTTAATCGCTGGATCATCCACCGTTGGTAGCACGGTTCCATCGTTTTTGAACGTGATTTCAACACACGAGAATCCACCGACCTTCAACCGTACCAATAAGTTTACTCAAGGGTTCCAGAATTTGATTGAGTCGTACGGAATTGCTTCATACCGTGAAGCCAATCCAGCGTTGTATACGATCATCACTTTTCCGTTCTTGTTTGCCATTATGTTTGGCGATTTAGGACACGGACTGATTCTTCTGCTGCTCGGATTATGGATGGTGTTGTGGGAGAAGAGTCTGAACAAGAACAAGGATGAAATCTGGCAGCTGTTCTTCGGGGGACGTTACATCATCCTGCTGATGGGAATCTTTTCTATGTACACCGGATTCGTCTACAACGATATCTTCTCAAAGACGATGAACATTTTCGGATCTTCGTGGCAGATCAATTACAATACTTCAACTATTATGGAGAACAAGGATCTTCAGCTGAACCCAGCAGAAGACTATTCGGAAACAGTTTACTGGTATGGATTGGATCCAGCATGGATGTTGGCATCAAACAAGATCATCTTCCTGAACTCATTCAAAATGAAATTGTCGATTATTTTCGGAGTGGTGCATATGATTTTTGGAGTCTGCATGAGCGTAGTCAACAACGTACATTTCCACAAGAAGGTCAATATTTTGTTGGACTTTGTTCCGCAGCTGTTGTTCTTGGTATTGCTGTTCCTGTACATGTGCTTCATGATGTTCTTCAAGTGGATTCAGTACACTGCCGTTACCGACGAGGACCACTTGAAACCGGGATGTGCCCCATCTGTGCTGATTATGTTTATCAACATGATGTTGTTCAAGAACCAGGAACCATTGGATGGATGCAAAGAATTCATGTTTGAAAGCCAGTCACAAATCCAAATGGTATTCATTTTTGCTGCGCTCATCTGTATTCCATGGCTTCTGTTGGCCAAGCCATTGTACATTAAATTCACTAGGAAGAGTCATGGAGAAGGAGATCACGTGGCTTCAGGTGGTCATGGAGACCACGACGACGAACCGATGAGCGAAATTTTCATTCATCAGGCTATTCACTGCATTGAGTATATCCTCAGTACCATTTCACACACCGCTTCGTATTTGCGTCTGTGGGCACTTTCACTGGCTCATGCTCGTAAGTTTACCTCATTCTTGTTTGAACTGTCATGATACCAAACATGCAAAATGCGTGCGCATTTGGAAAATTTTGTATTATGACTGTTAATGACAACCAATTACTTATTGGAAAATTTTTCAGAGCTTTCCGAAGTGCTGTATTCCATGATCTTCACCATTGGATTGAAATCTACTGGCTACACCGGAGCGGTAATGATTTACGTGGTATTCTGGCCTTGGGCTGTTCTGACCATCGGTATCCTTGTTGGTATGGAAGGTCTGTCTGCTTTCCTCCATACCCTGCGTCTTCACTGGTAATGTTTGAAACATTTTATTGTTTTTCCTCCTTAGTTCTGACAACTGGATTTTATTTTCAGGGTGGAGTTCATGAGCAAGTTCTACGAAGGATTGGGGTATGCCTTCCAACCATTCTCCTTCAAGGCAATTTTGGATGCTGAAAATGAAGAAAAGTAATTTCCAACATAATATCTGCATGCTATCGGTAGCATGAACAGAACTTTAATCAGTTAATAGTAATAAATTTAGCAGCATGTAAATTAAGCCGATGACTTTTATGAAACATTCCGAAACAGAAATTACTAATGAAAGTTACAAAAAATTCTTGTTGAAGGTACGTTAGCTATTTACGCTGGAATGATTTTGATTCCTACCAGTAGGACATTATTTGAAGTGCGTATATGTTGGGTGATGCTTCCTTCGTTGTTTACGCTGTAGTGAGTCATTACTCATTAATAATGTGGAACGCTGCAGCCAACGATGCCACAATAGGGGTCTGTGCTCATTCTCACAATCGCAGTGCTAGCTGGCGTATCTAGATCGGTGCTCATCTCTCCATTTACGTTGCAGCTCCGATATAATTTGCCTGACCGCTGCAAACGGCATTCCTGGTGTCTTCTCGACACAATTACACGACGATATTCTCCGCGACTCAAATCACATGTGAACTCACAAGCAAGTTTAATTGTGGTTTTATCAAGTGCCAACGACCAAATTGATCTAGACATTTTTTGGGTACCCCCCAGGAAATCGCCTGTATTTAACATTGGCCGCGGCTCATCATGCGGCACCTCAATTACATGATAATTTAAAAAAAGTTTATTTGTAGTAATTAAACACCAGGGAGCACACTGACCTCATCTGAACATGTTTCGGTGCATCTTTAGTAGTTTCCATGGGCTAAAAGTCATTATACGACATGTTAAATTACATGAAAACTTAACAACAAGGTCCAAGGGTTGCTCTGAATCAGAACCTCATTAGAAAGATACTCACTAGTGTTGCCAAATAAGGGATCGTCCACTAGTTATGTCACACCTTTAGGGTGGAAGTGGGGTGTGGGTTTGGAAATTGTGTCGAGTAATACAAAGAAATTTAGGTCTATACAAAAAATATGACAAAGTGGGAAGGGGGAGGGGGAGTGTTTAAAATGGGCAAAATTTACGTGACATAATTAATGGACCTTCCATAAGTGGTGATTTGTGTGTGTTTGTGTGTGTATATTTCGTGTAATCAAACTAATCCCTACCGGCTGGCAGTGGTATTATGGAAGAAATCTGCTTGTAATAATCCTTAAGGTGACAATTGCCTCATTTCAATTAGTCGGGAGTTAGAATGTGATAGCTCTATTGTAGATCCAGCAGCCCATTTCAGAATGCATGGTTATTCAAGTCCGATTCGAGATCACTTTCACATACAATAAACCCCGCATGTTAACACTACCGTTATCATACGCATAATGTTAATACAGACATGCTTCCAGGTTAGAAAATATGCTTTTCAAACCTGGCGCGTGTTTAGTTTTATTTCGATATTTAATTTATAAAGAATATTTGACCCGGCCTTATTTTAATCCGCTGGCCTTCCGCCGTTGATTGTTTCTTTTGGAATCCCTTGTACTTTCTCTCTAACGCTTCGTATTTCATTCCGTGCTTCACCAGCAATTTCCTTGCGTAGATCGTCCTTGGTCGGTTCTGACATGGTTGGTTCGATGTTGACTCCTTCCTTGCTGGTTGGTGTGATCGGTCTCAAGTCCACCGTCTGTCGCTTTATGCAAAAATATCTAATAGCAATTACCTGTGCTGTGATACTTCCTTCAACGAAACAAATTTTTTTGCATTACTATGGTCATGGGAGGAGGCTCGCATCTAAAGTCGCTGGTCCACCGAGCAATCGTAATGAGCGCCCCGTATATCATTGAATCAATGTAGAGATTAGTATAAGTTGGTGTTGTATGCAACATGTGAAAAGAGAATGAAATAAATACGAAAGGGATTCGTTTCAAGAAGTGATAGTTTCATCGGATTCCCCAACTAACCGTACTCATGTAAAGTAAGTATATACAAAGCTGCGATGTGTTTCTGAAAGTGATGCGTTATATTTCTCAATGTTTTGATTTCATCTTAACGTTACCTAAATATTATATCACAGAGAAACAGACAAAAAACTTTGAATAGTTTTTATTGTAAAACATCGTCACTAAAACACTACCGCCAACCGGTGGAAACTAACGATTTTAAATTGGCTCACACTGCACTAGCCTATCGGCTTCATGTACATCGATGAACGTATCCCATTCTAGTCGAAATTTGCTATGAAAGTTTGACAGATAAAATGCGGGGTTCATGGATTTTCCTATGTTTTGAGGGGTGCATCGATTAGCTTAGAACCGAAGAGAGTACCAGAGCTAAGCAAAAAACTTGAGCACGTTTCTTGGGAACCTTCTGATCTTAGAGTTACGTCTATGATACTGTCATCTGTCGTATTCACTTTGATGACCGTTTCACTGAAGCTGTTAAGGATCTAGGAATAAATTAAATTCACGGTTAAGAAGGGGATGTTGTATGAAATTGATATTGAATAATACTTTTATTATGTATGTACTACTAATCATAACCAGACGTGTTTCAATTACGATCTAGAAACCTTTACAATAACTTAAACCCTAACCGTTGTATCCAATGCCAAACCCAAAGGAACGTAGACTTACCCTTTGCGCATAAACATCAACTTATCTTGCTTACCTGCCAAAACAAACTTTGGTCTACCTAGGTTAAAAGAAATTTTATAAAGATAGGGAAAATGGATGTAATGTCGGCTTAAATGCCCCTAATTTGGGTCCATACATAATTACGGTAATGACATTAAAAAAAATCCGTAATGACATTAAAGAAATGATCTACATTCGTGTCTAGAAATCTGTGACATGCTGTTCGCTAGCGATTATCACCTTTCCCTTAACTAGATACGGAGATAGCAACATAATGCCATTGAACTTCTTAGTCACAGTGAGCTTAAAGTGAAAACTCTAAATATAATGGTATCAGAAACGAGCAAAGCAAGCAGCTCTCAAAAGAAGTAAAAATAATGTCATGACATGTTTTATTCATAGCTCCAAAAATAACTCAAACAGTAAAGCTCGTTATAACTGCCCATCGAACAACAAAGACAAATTGATAAAAATATAATTTCGCATTATTATCAAACTTCCACAATCTAAAGCAACCAAAGCTTAGGGAACATAAACATGTCTATCTATTCAGATGAAACTAAAGTCACATTTCATCACTTTCAAGTAGTTCTCTGTGTCCTCCAAGTCCAAATTTTCCGGAAAATATATTTAAGCGTTGTCAATATCGAAAAATCACTACGCCTGGGAGCGCGAAATTCCGAGAATTTTCATAAAAATTTATAAGTATTAGTAAACAAAATAGAAAACCCGTACCAGTTCTGTATTCAGCCAAACGACCGTATGCCAATCGTCCTAAACCCGCACTGATTAATTGCAAATTATACATATCTTTTAAACGAACCTGTAACATAATCGTAAATTTCCCGGTTAGGTGTAGTACACGAATTGCAATTATGTCAAAATCTCAGAAAGCTTTGTAAGGCACCCACTCTCATCGCTGAAGTAAGAAACCTTGTACACTATGGTGATAATTTAAAAAAAATGGCTGAAAGTCACCAGACCATAGACTAATATAAAGAAACAACAGTTGTAAACAATGACTTCTCTCGATGATTTCTAGAAAATCAAGGCTCGCCCACGCAAACCAACATCTTCCTCCGGTGGGAAAAAGCTTCCCCTATCCGATGGTTATGTTGGTTTGCGTGGGCGTGGCTTAAAATCCTAGAAATCATCGATAGAAGTTATTGTTTATAAAAGCTGTTACGCCCTAATTCCAGCTCTATCTAGAACTGATTGTCAATACCTTGCAAAATACTTTGAATTACGATGCAACCTTTAATACATCAACGTTCACTGCCTTGTCAATCAGTAAAAGATGACAATTTATGGTGCTTGTTCGATCACATTCCAATCTTGTCAATGCAACACAAATAATATTTGCTCTGTGAATTCCCTATACCATCGGTCCACAGCAGCACTGAACTCAGAACTATGGTAATAAATCAACATCTCAGACTGCTGGCTTATCATGGTCTTATGTCTACTGTTCCCCTTGTCTCATTCTCTATGAAGGATGTGACTGGGACAACACATCAGCTCTTCCTGGTAAAACTTGATTTAAACTACCAACCCGGTTGCATGCGCCTATCAACTCTGCCTGCCAGGAGACTAATCAAACTTAATCTCTACGCCTGTCGCTTTGAGAAATTTCAGCTCCTGTGACTAGCAGGAATCTGATTCCTTGCCTGGCGTTGTTTAATGTGCTTCAGTTGTAGAAAATCCTACTGGCAATCCAGATAAATAGCTTAGTTAATATTATTCATAAGCTCACCTTGGGCTGGTTGTGATTATCTGTTCCCTTCTAGGAGAATTGATTTCGATTTGTTCTGACATCCAAAGTACACTTGAGAACAAATCGATTTTGTGCTCCAGGAAACATAACAAGTTATTTTGATGATGGTGCCGATGTTTTTCGTTTCGAAAACATAATTACAAATTTTAATTGACATCAATAGAATAGTGAGGCGCTTCAAAAAGCGAACATTCTCGGAACAAACAAATTTAGAATTCACTGACCCATTCCAGCATGATTGGAAAGTACGAAAACTAAATCCAATAAACATCTCATCATCAATCGAAATAATTTTGACTGACAGTTTGATTAGTATGTTTACGAGCAGGCAGCTGGTGCTTTATGACTTGTTTACCGGAGTGCCATTTATCCGCTTCATTAATAATTCGATGCCATGATTAGTTGAATTATGGTCAACAGAGTGTTTTCATTTTTCCACTGATTTGACGCAAATTGAAGCACCCAAGTTTGTTGGAAATTCAACAACATTTCTGAAAATAAATATTAGATCAGCTAGAACGGCACCTGACAGGACAAACTGTTTTACAAACTACTTCCAATAGTAATTATTTATGCCAGAGTATTCGTTAAGCTTCACCTTCCGATCATCGTTTGTCCTCGTCCTCGGAATATCCACAAAATCGTAATCCTCTTGGGCACAGTTGTGCTCATTAGTTTCACACTCAAACGCACCATCGGTACTTCCGGTGAACGCGGACACCCGCATGGGTATTAATAGCGGCTTGCGTAA